AGCCTTTAAAATCTTAAGAAGATTGAAATCATATCAAACATCTTTTCTGACCACAAAGGCATAAAATAAGAAATCAATTAAAAGAAAAAAATTGAAAAAATCATAGATATGTAGAGATTAAACCATATGTTCCTGAACAAACAATTGGTCAAAGAGAAAATCAAAAGGAAAATAAAAAATATCTGGAAACAAAGTAAATGAAAACACAATATACCAAAACTTACTGGATGCAGCAAAAGCTGTTCTAAGAAAAACATTTATAGAGATAAACACCTATATAAAGAAAAAAGAGGGGCACCTGGGTGGCTCAGTCAGTAGAGAGTCCGATGGGCTCAGGTCATGATCTCACATGACAGCTGATAACACAGAGCCTGGAGCCTGCTTTGGATTCTGTGTCTCCCTCTCTCTCTGCCCCTCCTCCACTCACTCTGTCTCTCTCTGTCTCTCAAAAGTGAATAAACATTAAAAAATTAAATTAAAAATAAAAGCAATAAGAAAGATCTCAAATAAACAACTTAATTTTATACCTAAAGGAACTGGAAGGAAAAAAGGAACTAAGCCTAAAGTTAATAGAAGTAAGGAAATAACAAAGCTCAGAGCAGAAATAATGAAGTATAGATTAAAAAGACAATAGAAAAGATCAAAGAAGCTAAGAGTTTGTTTTTTGAAAAAATAATCAAAATTGACAAATCTTACTAGACTGAGAAAAAAGAGAAGACAAATGAAATCAGAAATAAAGAGGAAACATTCAACTGATAACAGAAATACTAAAGCTCATAAGAAACTACTATGAACAATTATATGCCAACAAATTAGATAATCTAAAAGAAATGTATAAATTTCTAGAAACATACAAGAGTGAATCATGAAGAAATAGAAAATCTGAACAGACCAATTATTAGTAAAGAGACTGAATCAGTAATCAAAGACCTTTAAACAAAGTCCAAGATGGCTTCACTGGTGATTTCTACTAAATATTTAAAGAATTAATGCCAATCCTTCTCAAACTCTTCCCAAAAATTGAAGAGGAGGGAAAACTTCCAAACTTGTTTTATGAGGCCAGCATTACAGAGAGCAAAGCCAGACAAGGACACTACAAGAAAAGAAAATTGTAGTCTAATATCTCTGATAAACACAGATGCAAAAATTCTCAACAAAATACTGGCAAACCTATTTCAACAGTACATTAAGAGGATCATATACCATGATCTAGTGGGATTTATGTCTGGAATGCAAGGATGGTTCAACATAGGCAAAACAGTAAATATGATACACCATAGTATAGGGAAAAACCCATTCTTCTTCTGTGTTTCTCCTTTACTCTCCCACTACTACCCCACTCACAACACTTCTGACGCCAGATCTGTGAGGTATTCTTCCTTACCACCAAGTAATTCTCTACCACACCATCTGAGTGTCCTACAATTTACCTCAATTCTAACACTATCTACTTGGTTACACTGTCAGATTCCACAGGTTAAGGACTCAGTCCTACAAGACCGCCCCCACCCTACTTGTGCCCATCACAACTCCAGGTTGTGACCTGTGCTTCGGACTCATCACCTGTAAATCAGAGGCTCCCACAAGGCCCTCCTTGGGTTTGATTAATGTGCTAGAAGAGCTCACAGAACTGAAAAAAAAAAAGAATTACTTATGTTTATCAGTTTATTTTTCAAATATGATAAAAGATACAGATGAATAGCCAGGTGAAGGGATACATAGGCAAAGTCTTGCAGGATCTCAGCACAAGAGCTGTCCCCACAGATTTGGGAGTGTATCAACCTCCTGGTATGTGGATGTGTTTACCAACCTGTAAGATCTCTGAATAGGCCTAAACTATTGAGAATTTTATGGAGCTTTCTTTACGTAGGCATGATCAATTATTAATTCCATTTCCAGTCCTCTTCCCCTCTCTGGAGAACTTTTAGGTTGGTGAACACATCCACAGACTGAGAGGGTGACACACCCCAACCTCATGGAGACATAAGCTCATGTGCTTGGACCCTTGCCCAGTGGATATCTTCATGTGACTAGTCTTCTGTATACTCTGTCATGTCCTTTAATAAACTGGTAAACATAAGTAAGTGTTTCCCTGAGTTTTGTGAGCTGCTCTAGCAATTAATTAAACCTGAGGAGGGGTCAGGGGAACCTCTGATTTGTATCCAAGTCAAACAGATGTTGTGGGGAACATGGAGCTTACTATTTGAGATTGGCATATAAAGTGTGGGGGGTAGTCTTATGGGACTGAGCTGTTAACCTGTGGGATTTGCTGTTATCTCCAGGTAGATAGTATTAGAACTGAGTTAATTTGTAGTACATCTAATTGTTGTCACAGAATTCCTTGGTGTAGGAGAAACCTAAGTCTTCGGTGTCAAAAGAGTTGTGAGTGTGGTAGCAGCATGACAGTAAAAGAGAAACACAAGAGAAGAACTGAAGTTCTTCCTAACACAACCACATTAACAAAATGAAGGAGAAAAATCACGTGGTCATTTCAAAATTTGCAGAAAAAGCATTTGATAAAAAAAAAGAAAAAGCATTTGATAGTATTCAACGTTCTTTCATGATAAGAAATCTCAACAAAGTGGATGTAGAAGTAATATATATCAATACAATAAAGCCCATATATGACAAGCCCAGAGCTAACATACTAAATGATAAAAAACTGAAAGCTTTCCCTCTAAGATCAGGAACAAGAGAAGGGTGCCCACTCTCGCCACTTTTATTCAATACAATACTGGCAATCGTAGTCAGAACAACTAGTCAAGAAAATGAAATAAAAGGAATTCAAGCTGGAAAGGAAGAAGTTAAACTGTCTCTGCTTCCACGTGGCATGATCTTTTATATAGAAATCCCTACATATTCCACCAAACAACAGTTAGAACAAATAAATTCAGTAAAGTTGCAGATTACAAAATCAATATACAAAACTCAGTTGTATTTCTATACACTAACAACAAACTATCAGAAAGAGAAATTAAGAAAACAATCACATTTACAACAGCATCAAAAAATAAAATACTTAGAAACATATTTAACCAAGGAGGTGAAAGATTGGTACACTGAAAACCATAAAACATTAATGACAAAAACTGAAGAAGACACAAATAAATGGCAGAATATTCTGTGTGGACTGGAAGAATTAATACTGTTAAAATGTCTACACTACCCAAAGTGATCTAGAGACTCAATGCAATTCCTATCCAAATTCCACTAGCATTCTTTTCTGCAGAAATAAAATAATTTGTATAGAATCACAAGAGACCTCAAAGAGCTAAAGCAATTTTGAGAAAGAAATAGTAACACTTGTAGAACATAGTAAGCTCTTTGACACTGGTCTTGACAATAATGTTTTGGATTTGACACAAAAAGCAAAGGCAACAAAAGCAAAATTAAAGTGGGACTACATCAAACTAAAGAGCTTCTAGACAGCAAAGGAAATCATTAGCAAAATGAAAAGGGAATATATAAACTGGGAGAAAATATTTGCAAACGATAATATCTGATGAGTTAATATTCAAAATATACAAGGAATTCATACAACTCAATAACATAAAGTAAATAATCCAATTTTAAAAGGACTTGAATAGACATTTTTCCAAAAAAAAGACATACAAATGCCCAACAGGTACATGAAAAGGTGCTCAGGGAAGGTGCAAATCAAAACCACAATGAGGTATCATCTCACACCTGTTAGAATGGCTGTTTTTAAGGAAACAAAAAACAACAGTATTGGCAAGAATGTGGAGAAAAGGAAACACTTGTGCACTGCTGATGGGAATGTAAATTAGTGCAGCCACTATGGAAAACAATGCGGAGGTGCCTCAAAAAATTAAAAATATAGCTATAATATTTCTGGATATATATCTGAAGGCAATGAAAACACTACCTCAAAGAGATATCTGTACTCCTATATTCTTTTTTTTTTAATGTTTATTTATTTTTGGGAGAGAAACAGAGCATGAGTAGGGGAGGGGCAGAGAGAGGAGGAGACACAGAATCCGAAGCAGGCTCCAAGCTCTGAACTATCAGCACAGAGCCCAACACGGAGCTCAAACTCATGAACTGCGAGATCATGACCTGAGCTGAAGTTGGATGCTTAACTGACCAAGCCACCCAGGTGCCCCCTGCACTTCTATATTCATCACCACATTATTCACAGTAGCCAAGGTATGGAAACAATCTCAATATCTATCAACAGGTAAACGGCTAAACATGTGATCACACACACACACACACACACACACACACACACACACACACATTGGAATACTATCCAGCTACAAGAAAGAAGGAAATCCTGCCATCTGTGATCACATGGGTGGACCTCGAGGGCATTAGTTTAAGTAAAATAAGTCAGACAGAGAAAGGCAAATACAGGATGATCTTATTTATACGTGGACTCTAAAAAAAGCCAAATTCATAGAAACAGAGAGTAGAATGGTGGTTTTCAAGGACTGGAGATGGGGGAAAGAAGAAGAGGGAGAGGCTGGTAAAAGGGTACAAACTTTCAGTTAAAAGATAAATAAGGTCTACGGGCCTAATGTATTTTATGGCTATAGTTGATAACACTATATTGCACAATTGAAATTTGCTAAGAGTGGAGCTTAAGTGTTCTCACCGACATAATAATAAAAAGTAAATAAGGTAAATATGTGAAATGAGTAAAAAGTGGTAATCATTTCACAATGTGAAATATTAAATCAACACTTGTACACTTAAATATATTATTTTGTCAAAAAAAGACAAACTTGCAGACATATGGATAATTGCTCTCCTATAACTAGAAGCCCATGGGGACTTATAGGCTCCCATACAGCTGTGAGAGGAGTGAGAGAAAATTTTTAAAAATGGCTACCTAGTAATTAAAACTATACTGAAAGAATGGCCACAAATATGCATGATCCTCTACATTTAGTACGTTATAAGAACACAGGAGCTACATTTTCCGTTCTCTCAAGCTTGCAGAAGTATAATTCAATTAAGTTCAGAGTTTAACTTACATTTTTTTGTGCTCCAGTCTCAAACCCCTAACTTCATGAGAAATTCTCTTCTGTGTCATTTTAGAAAACTTGATGTCTTTCTTGTTGTCAATATGTCTTGATGGCAAGTTGGCTGCAAAAGAATTACAACCTTCATCTGATAAATCAGTATTTTCTTCTGCCTGGGGAGTAACAAAGAGCCACAGTCAACTATATTCTCTTTGCACAAGTTCAGTATGACCTTCTGGGTCAAGTCATTCGTTGTAGATACATATTTTCTCTAAAATGATGCTACCAGACAGAATTCTGTTGCAAAGGATTTAATTATCAGTGCATTAGTTCAGATTAGGTACATATTCTAAACATCACCAACTATCCTTGGTGCATTATGCAGTCATGAAATGCCCAGCATTCATGAATGTTTCTAACAGTTGTGGAATCTAGTTCTTAAGGCATCTTTAAACTTACTTCATTAAATTAAAAACTCTTCTCTACATCCACTATCAAGAGGATGAGAAGACAAGACACAGACAGAGGGTAACTATTTAGAAAAGACATGTATGATCATGGGCTGTACTCAAAGTATTGTTGTTTTATATATTCAAAAATATATACAAAGAACTCATAACAATAAGAAAAAGCACAACCCAACTTAAAAATGGGCAAAAGATCTTAACAGACATCTTACCGAAGATGTACAGATGGCAAACAAGAACATGAAAAGATGCTCAACATCATGTTATTAGGGAATTATAAGTTAAAACATCAAGATACCACTACACATCTATTACCATGGCCAAAAATCAAAATACTGACGAAACCAAAAGCTGGCAAGGATGTGGAGCAAGATGAACTCTCATTCATTGCTGGTGGGAATGCAAAATGGTACAACCACTTGGAAAGACGGTTTGGTGGTTTCTTACAAAACTAAACATACTTTTACCCTATTTTGCAGCAGTTATAAATATCTTACTGGTATTTACCAAAGGGGTTGAAAACATATATCCACACAAAAACCTGCACACAGATGTTTATAACAGCCTTATTCAGAATTGCCAAAGCTTGGAAAATAACAGTGCCCTTCAGTAGATGAATGGATAAATGAACTGTGGTACATCTAGAAAATGGAATACTATCTGGCACTAAAAAGAAAGGAACTATCAAGCCATGAAAAGACATGGAGGAAACTTAAACTTCATATCACTAAGAAATCCATCTGCAAAGGCTACATGCTGTATGATTCCAACTATACAACATTCTGAGTAGGTGAAACTATGGAGACTAAAAACAAACCAGTGGTAGCCAGTGAGGGAGGGGGAAGATGAATAAGCAGAGCAAAGAAGATATGTAGGGCAGTGAAACCATACTATATATTTTAATAATGGTTACATGTCATTATATATTTGTCCAAACTCAAAGAATTTACAATACTGAATCAATCCCAATGTAAAGCATGGACTTTGGGTGATAAAGATATGTCAGTGTATCTACATGTATAGAGACAGGAGGTATATGGGAACTCCCCACTCAGTTTTTCTGTGAATCTAAAACTGCTCTAAAAGTCTATTGAGAAAAATAAAACAGCTATATTGCTTCTAAATAGACACCTCCCCCTCCAAAAAAGGAACTAGACCCTAGGAGCAATGAACATGTTTAGAAAAAGAGGAATGAAGTTAGAAATATACTCTTTTGAAATGTGGCTGTTTGCAGGTCATCTAGGTGGTCAGTGGGTTAAGCATCCAGCTCTTGGTTTCAGTTTACGACATGATCTCACAGTTCATGAGTTGGAGCCCTGCATCAGGCTCTGTGCTGACAGTGTGGAACCTGCTTGGGAGTCTCTCTCTCCCTCTCTCTCTCTGCCTCTCCCCTGCTCTCTCTCTCTCTCAAAAATAAATAAATTTTAAAAACATGGCTGCTTGCTTTAAACAACTGGACTGCATCTAGCTGAACAAATTATAAAGGCAACTTATAAAGCAGATCACTAAGGGAGTTTAGAGAATCTTATTTCTACACAAAATGGAAATTAAGGGAACTATTTCAGTGACTTTTACAGTCTGCATACATTCATTTTACTGTAGAGGCACAACTTTAACAACTTGCTCCAAAAAGGCAATCTGATTTGCTACCCTAATGAAATATTTATTAGGAATGATGAAAAGTTTCCTAGAGATGTTGAGAAAAATGACTCAAAATAGAAACCAGGAAAATAATAGGAGGAAGATCTAAAAAGATAAAGAGGTACAAAAACCTGTTATCGAAGACCAGATGAACAAAAGCAGTCAAATAGTGAACAGAAACTTTGATGATACAGAAAAGGAAGGAAATAATTCTGTGGTTAAAGATGAACCATCTGGAAGTATAAACTATATAGCCTAAGGAAGACAAACTGGTATGATATATTAATACTGTTAATTATTTTAACTTTTAAGAATTCATCTTCCTAATCAGCTCATGAGGGCATGATCAACAAAGTATTAAGTATAAAAAGGTGGAACAGGTTAATATACATATCACACATCTTGGTACTTAGCAAGACACCTTGAAATTGTTTTTTGGGGGTGTGCTTGGGTGGCTCAGGTGGTTTTGCTTTTAATTTTTTTTAAAGTTTATTTATTTTCGAAAGAGTAAGAGACAGAGGTGAGTGGGAGAGGGGCAGAGAGAGAGGGAGACACAGAATCTGAAGCAGGCTCCAGGCTCTGAGCTGTCAGCACAGAGCCCACACAGTGCTTAAACTCAGGAACCATGAGATCATGATCTGAGCCAAAGTTAAATGCTTAACCTACTGAGCCGTCCAGGCACCCCTAACTTTTGATTTCAGCTCAGGTCATGATCTCACAGTTTGTGAGATCCAGTCGCACATCACGCTCTCCACTGACAACACAGAGCCTGCTTGAGATTCTCTCTCTGCTTCTCTCTTCCCCTCCCCAACTCATGTTCTCTAGCATGCATGTGCTCTCTCTCTCTCTCAAAATAAATAAATAAACATTAAAAAATTGTTTAAATTCCTTTTGGATTACAGTATAGGTACATGTCTTATATGGTGGCACCATACTCATTAAAAGCATAAATTTAAACGGTTAAGACCCTCAGTTGACAATACTGAATTTCACCTGAGCCTTGTGCTCCCACAAAATAGTGAAGATTAAAGAAATCCCTTCACCCTTTTGTGTTCTGGAAAATGGCTTGCTGCAAGGCATCACCCTTCCCCATATGCTTCTGGTAAAACTCACAGATGCCCCCTTGTTTACCTATGACAAGGCCAAACACCTTCAAACTTCCTTTTCTTTGCTTCATGAATGATTAGCTAAACTGTTTTAACCCCACTAATTAATCAGAACAAAATGCTTGTTAGCCTAACTTTGGTTAAGCTTTTCTCCTTCCTCTAGGCCCCTAAAATATTCTCTGATCTGTTTGTCTCATCATGCCACTCTTTTATCCCACTTCCCCATATCCAGTTCTTCTTAGCCTTGTTGACTCCTCTCCATAAAAGAAAAGTCATTTTTGTCTAGCCCTTGAGCTGCTTGCAGATCTTATGGTCACAGCCTTCCCCCTCCTGCTATTTCAATGAATAGTCCCTTCCCTCCTTTGCAATAATCCTTTTGGATAAAGTCCTGCCTTACTAAGTACAGGTTTGTTTTTTATTTGACACAATACTGGCCAATGGATAAGAACATGCCCTGAATCACAGGTAAGAAGGCTAGATAAACTTGGTATCGTTTATAGCACCCTCTGGTTAGACTCCCACATCATAAATTATGTTATCTACAACCTTTATTTTACAATCCTTTATTCTTCTGAAAAATTATCCCAACCCCTACCCCTCAAAATACTCTCACCATACACCGTGGACCTCTTGATACAACACAGGTTGCTGGGATGAAAGTTCATCATATGCCCACTAAAAGACCTCAAAAGTCTCCTTAGTTATTAAAAGATCTTATAACTATATTGCTCTATTAACTGCTTACTGATTATGGATGTGAGATAATATAAACTAATTTTTAATGTAAACTAATTTTTTTAAAAAAAAGAAAAGGAAGGAGACCTTAGAAACTGTTTTTGAAAAAATACCTGGCAGAATAGAGGTACTTTAGTTTCCATTTTTCAGTTTAGAGGTAAATTCTGCCCTTGAGGACTCAAAGGCCTTGATGAACAAGTATGAATGAGCACAAACAGATTTCCTGCCCAAAAAAAAAAAAAAAAAAAAAAGATGAGAAAAATCATATGCCTGCTTAAGAGACTTAGGTAATTATATTTACCTACCTGAAGTTACCCCTGTAATGTAACACAGTATAATACCAAGTAGATAATCCCCAAGCCATACATGTGTACAAAGGCTAGAAAAAGCAGTCAGTAGATTGTAATTCACAGAAGATCCTCCAGTCCCATAAATTTACCTTTTGTGGTATAAGAAGTAGAGAAATCCCAAACAAATGACATAAAAAGCAGAGAAATCCAGTTATATTTATTTATTCAAATAAACCCAGAGAAACAAAACTACTAACATGGCAGCAATCACCAATGTTATTAAACACTTACTATATACTAGACATTATGATAAACACTTTAACATAAATTATTTCAGATATCTTTTAAGAAGTTATCATTATCTTTATTTTACCAATGAGTAAAATAAGACTTAGATCAAGTTGTCCAAGATTACACAGCCAACAAATAGAGAAGTCAGAAATCGAAGTCAGCCAGCCTAACTCAAGAGCCCACAGTCTTTAGCACCCTGTAATATCGTCTCTTGAAAAAATACTATTGCAAACAAAAGATGCCTTAGCCTGTTTTAAACCAAAGACTTCCACATCATATACCAAACAATTTAGAAATTCCCCACATTTTCAGTTTTTACTCATATATGAGTTACACTGGGTGTGCTATTTATTACATTGCTAGTTTTATTATATTGTTACAATTATCAGTGTCATTTTCATACCATGAAGTTTAACTATAAGTATTAATATTTTAAACAAGATAGTACTTTAAAATCATTTATTTCTGAAATGTTATACTAACTGCTGTTGAATGTGATATGTCCAACCAACATTCCTGGAATTCAAAACATGTTAAAAATAAAATGAAACCATGTGACAAATACCCATCTCAGAAGACACTAGATAGCTATGAAGGTTTCCCCAGCAACCCACTCTATGTAACCTCTTCTAGATCTTCTCTAATGAGTTCAGTCTTTACCTTGAAACTACTTGGTATAGTACAGTCTTCGCCATTGTTACTGTCTTCACTATTCAACTAGCATTAATCATTTGCCTTGTATTTTTATTTATCACATATACATCTCCTATAGCAACTATAACCTAAATTTCATAGATGGACTGAAAGGAATGGATTGGTATCTTATTATTCTTTGAATTATTTCTCACAATAATTAGCAAAATGCTATATGTATAAAACAAAAGAAGGAAGGAAAGAAGGGAGGGAGTAAAAAAGGGAGGGGCTAAGGAAGGAAGGCATTTCCTCCCTTTGGAACTTACTCACCAAGAGCTTCTTAAGTTATTGAAGTACTTAATTAAGCACAGTAAAAGCTTTATTTAAATAAACTGTGAAAGGAAGAACTGTTTCATAATTTTTTGACCTATCAAAAAGTTGACTGGTTTTAGTCTGTTGGATGAATCAAATACCACATACCCCTCTCCAAGTTAAGAGAAAAAATAGGAATACGAATAGTAAGTCTCTTCCCCATAAATTGACAAAAAAAATTGTTTCTCGACTCTTTCAATCCTTTGACACATATATGAACTTGCAAGGACAAACCAAGACAAATGTATCCCACTTCTCCAGTCTATCAATCCATCTCTCCATCCATGAATTCAACACATATATACTGTGGGCTTACTATGTACTAGGCTTTCCTCCAGGCTCTGGGGATATAGCAGTGAAAAAACAGGAAAAAATAAATCCTGCTCCTTGTGGAGCTTACATTCTAGTCAAGGAGAGACAATAAAATAGATAAATAAGTAAAATATGTAGTATGTTATCTGTGAGAAGTACTAAAGGAAAAAAAAAACGTAAAGTAGGGGAGAGGAATGTGAAGTGCAGTGTTGGGGAAGAGAAGCAGGGAACAGATAGGGTAGCCAAGAAAGACCTTACCTAAGAGGGAGACTTGTGCATACAGATCTGAAGGAATGAAAGCAGGAAGCCAATGAATATCTTAGGGGAAAGCATTTCAGCCAGAGAAAATCAAGTACATAGGCTCAGAAGTAAGAAGGAGCTTCACTGTTCAAGGAACAGTGGGAAGGCTCATAAAGCTAAAGCAGAAAAAGCAAAGTAAAAGGAGGAGGAGAGGGGATCAGAGGGGTCAAGGGAGGGGGGACAGAAACAGAGGGCCCCCAAATCTGAGATGGGAATCCATGAGAGTGTTTTGAGGAGAGAGATAACATGATGTAAAATCCTTTCTGAAAGGATCACTCTAGTTGTTACAAGAAGGAAAATCAGGTGGGTCTAGATTACTAAAAGCAAAGTGGAAAAAAGTACTTCAAAAGAATGAGTAATCGGGGTGCCTGGGTGGCTCAGTTGGTTAAGAGTCTAACTCTTGATTTCAGATCAGGTCATGATCTCAAGGTTCATGAGGTCGAGCCCCTCATCCAGCTTTGCACTGACAGTCCAGACTCCTTGGGATTCTCTCTTTCCCTCTCTCTCTCTGCCCCTCCCCTGCTCCCTCTTTTTTTCTCTCTCTCTCTCAAAATAAATTTCAAAAAAAGAAGAATGAGTAACCGGCTGTGACAGATGCTGCCAGTAGGTGAAGTAAGAGGAGAACTGAATGGGTGATTAGGTTTTCCAACATGGAGGACACCAACGGCCCCAAGAGGAGCCATTTGCGTATATGGTAAGGAAATGGTGTCCTGGGAGTGAGTTCAAGAGAGCATGGAGGAGAGAAAACGGAGACAAACAGAAGAGACGACTCTTTCAAAAAGTATGCTATAAAAGGGAAAAGAAACAAGGTAGTAGCTGAGGGGCAAAGGGGTTATGAGGGTTTAAGATGGGGGAAAATAAAGTCATGTTCATATGCTGATAATAATCTAGTAGAGGAGCAAAAATGGATCACAAAGGAGGGGAGAATTACTGAAACAATATTCTCAAGTAGGATAAAGAAGATGAGATTTAGAGCACAAGGGCAGGGTCTGTTCTTACCTAAGAATATACTTATAGTAATAGGAAACATGGCAGAGTAATTGGGCTTAATTACATGAAGACCAAGTAAGTAGATGTGGTTGTGGAGGCTGCAGAAATCATGTGATTGCTTTAGTTTTCTTTATGTGTGTGTGTGTGTGTGTGTGTGTGTGTGTGTGTGTGTGTGTATCTTTTATTACATATATATTTCTTTATATATATATACACACATATTTAACTTTTATTTTAAGTAGGCTCCACACCCAATGTGGGTCTTGAACCCACAACCCTGACACCAGGAGTCACATGCTCTACCAACTGGCTTAGGAGGATAAAAGAATAGCCCAAGGGTACCTGATAAGGTTGCCAGGCAGCATCAAGGGCCCCTTGAGGAAACGGTCGTAAGTAAGTCGAACCAGGAAGCACAGTTGTGGTTTTTTTTCTTTAGCTCTGTTCAATGCAGAAATGCTGGCACTGAGTCAAGAGATCTAGATTTAATCTGGGACTATGATTGATCCAAGAAAGTAAAATTAACTGAAAATGTGATAAGAGAACTGGGGGGAAATGCAAGGGAGTGGTTGAAATTATTAACCATGTAACAAACTGAGCAGGTGGGTGGGGAATAAGGATGAGAGTGGGTGAGTAACATTAAAAAAAAAAAAAAAGGTAGATTGAAGATCTTGGTAGGGCCCAAGGATTGTTAGAGTCAGAGCGAGCTTGAAAGACAGGAATGTGATGATTGGAGAGTGAGATATACGGTATTCTCCCACCTTATACATGGGGATCTGTTGTTCTAAGACCCTCAGTGGAAGCCTGAAACTACAGAGTACCAAACCCGGGATATATCGTTTTTACCTAAACACACATATCTATGATAAAGTTTAATTTCTAAATGAGGCACAGTAAGAAATTAACAATTAATAATAAATTATAACAATATGCTGCAATCAAATATGCTGCATGTGAATGCGGACTCTCTCAAAATATCTTATTGTACTGTACTCACACTTCTTGTGATGATGTGAGATGATAAAAGGTCTATATGATGAGATGAAGTAAGATGGATGATGCAGACATTGTGACCTAGTGTTAGGCTACTGCTGGCCTTCTAATGATAGGTCAGGAAGACCATCTGATGAACCACAGTTGACCATGGGTAACTGAAACCATGGAAATCAAAATAAGGGGGTACTAATGAGAACAAAGCGGGGTCTACTAAAATAACGGGGTTGCAATTATTGGTAATACAAGATTGAGAATATGAAAAAGGGAACAAGTGACGGAAGAAAGGTTAAATAACTGTAGGAAGACAGGAACCGAGAGCTCAGAGTACTGGAAGGAGCACCTACATGAATGCTAAAATCACAAGAATCATGACAGGAGTAAAGTTAGAACAGCAGAAAGCCAGGAGCTGAAATTTAACTAAAGCAACAAGGAGTGGTAGTAAGTGGTATAATCTGATAATGCGAAATGCAGAACTGAGCATTTTGAGAATGGAATGAAGAAATGTCTGGAAGGCGTCATCTACTCACCTTCTGGTCCCAGCGGTACTAGGAGAGTGAGAGAGAAAACAGCCACCACCAGCCACACATGTGGTCTGCCCACCACACTCCCAGATACACACAGTCTTTTCTCATTTTCCCTTGCATCTTGGTGGTCACGATCTGATTCACCAGAGAACACCAAAAAGAAGTGAGGAAATTCAAAACCGTCTGATACATCACAAGGATTTTTTAAAGTATCATGACTGATTCAGTCCCTATGGAGATCAAGCTGTCATATTATTACTAAAGGGTTTTCCATTCCTTGGCAGAGTATTTTCAAAATGTTATAATTTAATAGATATGTTAAAATTAGGGGAGGAAGACATACAGATGGCCACAGACACACGGAAAGATGCTCAACACCACTCATCATCAGGGAAATACAAATCAAAAGCACAATGAGGTATCACCTCACACCTGTCA